ACACAAACAACGCTGGAGAAATTTTGTTCACAAAATTCCCATTCATATGAAAAATTTATACCACAGTGCGTGAAAAGATATAAACATCGATATCAATGCCATTTGATAAGACACCCTGAAGCTTTTTATTTGGAAATGTCAAAGTCATGAAATCATCGATGATTCATATTTATATCATTAAAACATACGGAATCTACAACATTTGGGCTTGTTTTTCTAAATTCGTTAATGTATCATATGTACTTTAGTCGCCCACACTCCGCCACTGCCTTTCATTCGAATGCATTACGTTACGAAAACATATTCTGTTAGTTAACTCCAAAAGCATGAATGCGTTGATCCTAGTGAATTTTCCTATTGGAAATTTTCAGATCAACATTTCGGCAAGGACACGTATGTTAAATTCGACACGTGCAGTACACGTGCAATGCTAATAATAAAAATATAGATAATAATCACATCCATGAGTTAATCAAACCAGCGACCTTCGCATTAGTAATTCAACATTTTTACGGCACAACCACAGGGTTCACCACACGTCAGTGCTCTTATACTTGTATAAAATGTGACAATGTAAATTTGTGCTTAGGGTAAAAAAACACAAATATAGCAATATGTTTTAAAAATATTTAAATTACGTTTACTACAAAAAAATTTGAGGGAACGTCATCAAATTGTCGGTGGGAATGATTGGATAAATCTTACCATCGGTCCAGTAGTTTTCGAGATTATCTGTTTGATAAAAATGGACACAAATAGACGACAGATGACAGACCACAGACAGACGGAAACGCGAAACCTACTTTTTCGCACTCTAGGGGTCATGAAACGTCATGGATGGCTCCTATTACAATATTTCTTTAGCTGACACTCGGGAAGTAAAAAATTATAGAAACAAAGTCGGAAGAATTTAAAATGTTTATTTTCAAACTTATTGCCGTCACCAGATTTTGGAAAACTTATTTTTGCCTTAAAACAGTGGCAAAAAACATAAAACAAAGTAAAATGCTTGAAAAGTAATTTGAAAGACTCTTGGGGACCGCCAACATTTTTTTTTAACATGAAAGAATGTGGCGTTTTCAAATTTAAATAATCTCGGGGGCTTTGAAAAAATTTGAAAGAATCTTCGGAACCCTTAAAATATTTTTTTCTTAAACGTGAAAACATTTTGGGGACCGCTGGTGCGTTAAATTTTTAAGAATTTCAGAGGTCCCTGGTGTTTCGTTTTGAAAGAGTAAAAACCTTGGGGCTACCTGGTGTTTTATTTTAGAAACAATTTTGAAAAAAATCAAGTACTCTTAAAACCGTTTTCAATTTTTAACGTGGAAGGACCTTGAGGGTTCCTGGTATTTTAACCTTTAAAGAATTTGGGTGGCAATGGTTTTTCGTGTTTAGAAGAGTCTGTAAGAATCTTGGGGGTCCCTGGTGTTTTATTTCAGAAAAAAATTTGAAGAATCTCAAGGAAGCCTAAAATGGTTTTCTTTTTTTTTTAACGTGTAAGGACCTTGAAGGTCCCTGGTGTTTGTTCTAGAAAAAATTTTAAAGAATATCGGAGCTCCTGGTGTTTTGTTTTTGAATCTTGGGGACCCCTAAAGTCTTTTTTTTTTTGATGTGAAAGAATCTTGAAGGTCCCTGGTGTTTTAAATTTTAAAGAATCTCAGAAGCCCCTGATATTTCGATTTTTAAAGAGTCTATAAGAACCTCGGTGCTTTATTTTAGAAAAAAAAAAATGAAGACTCTCAAAGACCCCCTAAAGTCGTTTTTTTTAACGTGAAAGGATCTTGAGCGCCCCTTGTGTTTTATTGTAGAAAAAATTAAAGAATCTCGGGGATTTCTGGTGTTTTGTTTTGAAAGAATTTGAAAGAATCTTCGAAACCCCTAAAATATTTTTTTCGTAAACGTGAAAACATTTTGAAGAGCACTGGTGCATTAAACTTTTAAGAATCTCGGGGGTCCCTGGTGTTTCATTTAGAAAGAGTTTTTAAAAATCTTGGGAGTACATAGTGTTTTATTTTAGAAATAATTTTGGAGAAACTTAAGGACGCCTAAAATCGTTTTATTTTCTTTTAACGTGAAAGGATCTTGAGGGCCCCTTGTGTCTTAACCTTTAAAGAATCTGGGGGCCAATGGTGTTTCGTGTTTAGAAGAGTCTGTAAGGTGTCCCTGGTGTTTTATTTTAGAAAAATTTTGACGAATCTCAAGGACCCCTACAGTCGTTTCTTTATCGTGAAAAAATCTTCAAATCCCCTGGTATTTTATTTTATGAGAAATTTAAAGAATCGGAGACTCCTGGTGTTTTGTTTTTGAAAAAATTTAAAAAAATCTTCGCGATCTCTAAAACATTTTTTTCTTAAACGTGAAAAAATCTTGAGAGCCATTGATGTTTTAAACTTTTAAGAATCTCGGGGGCCCTGGTGTTTCATTTTTGAAGAGTTTCTAAGAATCTTAGATGTACCTGGTGTTTTATTTCAGAAAAAAATTTGAAGAATCTCAAGGACGCCTAAAATCGTTTTCTTCCCTCGTGTTTTAAGTTTTAAAGAATCTCAGGAGCCCCTGGTGTTTCGTTTTTGAAAGAGTTTATAAGAACCTTGGGGATCCCTAGTCTTTTATTTCAGAAAAGAATTATGAAGAATCGCAAGGACCCTCTAAAATCGTTGAGAGCCTTTGGTGTTTTATTTTAGAAAAAAGTTGAAGAATCTCGGGGGCCCCTGGTGTTTCGATTTTGAAAGAATTTGGAAAAATCTTCTGGACCCCTAAACAATTTTTTCTTAATATCTTGGGGCCCACTGGTGTTTTAAACTTGTAAGAATCTTGGGGGGGCCTGGTGTTTCATTTTTGAAGGATTTGTAAGAATCTTGAAGATCCTTGGTGTTTTATTTCAGAAAAAATTTTGAAAAATCTCAAGATGCCTAGAATCGTTTTTTTTGCAACGTGAAAGGACCTTGAGGCCCCTGGTGTTTGTTTTAGAAAAAAATTTTGAGAAAATCTGGGCTCCTCGTGTTTTGTTTTTGAAAGAATCTCGAGGGTCTCTGGTATTTTAAATTTTAAAGAATCTTGGGGGTTCCTGATGTTTTAATTTAGAAAAAATGTTGAAGAATCCCGAGGACCTCCAAAATCGATTTTTTAATGTGAAAAAATCTTGAAGACCCCTGGTGTTTTCTAAAAAAAAAAAAACACTTCGGGTGCTCCTGGTTGAATTTAAAAAGCTTTTTTTACTTCCGGTACCATACGTGAGCATAAAGAAGTCTATTTTAACGCACCACTAATTGCGTATCAACTTGGCTTTCCAAAAGTAGTAGAATACCAAAATGCCTGTTTTCCTTCTCCGTCCTCTGTCCCTGGAAATTTACCAGCACATAATCTCGGAAATTACCAAATCGAATGTTTCGAAATTATTGAAGACACAACATTCTTAAAAAATTGATGACGTCACTTTCAAAACACTGTTAACTACATCTCACATGTTGTATAATGTGATGTTCTATCTATGTCTTAATAATTTAGTTCTACTGTGAACCACGTAGATCAATCGTTCTGAAAAAATACGTTTGAACAAATTTCATAATGATTTCAAAGAACATATTTTTTTTTTTTCAAAAATGTTGGAAATTTTTGAAAGTAATAAATGTATTTATTTTCTTTCAAAAATTTGTTTATTAGGATTTAGTGCTTTAGTAATGTTTTTATTCCTTGTTCAGATCCAAATTCCGAGATACAGTACATGATTATATTTAGTGTTACATTGTGCACACAAAATCAATATATACTTAACTCCACCAAACTGTTATGGCGTTACAGCAAAAAATTACTAAATAGAATAGAAGTATTTCTTAGCTACATTTTAATAATACGCAAAAATTACCTTAAGCGCCAGCTGGACATGCGCCCTGGACTCTTGAACCGTCTCATTCCCAATAATTCGATCAACAAGTGTATTTCAATATTACCACTTTTTCATCTTGCACGCACACACACACAGTTTAAATACGAGTTTAATGATAAAAAGATCTACACACTAATGAAAAAAAAAACATGTCTATCGTGTATTAAGCACTAGTTTAAGTAATGAAAACGTTGTGAGGTACTGTTTTATTACAAATAATGACAGAATTTGTGTTAACCTACTTAGTACTGTTGAAATATTCACAGTTGAACCGCACCATTTTCCATTTTATTGCGTTTACGTGATAAAAAAATAATGTTTTCAGTTTTAATAGTCAAGTCTTAAAAGCACCTATAAATAAGTAGGTAATCAGAAGTGAGTCCAGTAAAAAACTGTTACAGAATCCCACTGAAACGGTTTGCAAAAAGTTGCAAATGGTTCGTTAACTCCTCATCGCAGCTGTGGTGTTGATTGCTGACCTGCATTAAAGCACACAAACGTAAAACAAACGTGATAAAGCATTACGTGAAACAAAAATAACTCAATATTGATCTATTTTTTCTATTTACAGTATAAATTAAATAGTCCTGTGGACGAAAATAACAGTGTACTGATCCAATTATCCGAGTACTAAATTTAAGATGTGTTAATTAGGTATTTTTACCAAATCGTCTCTTATTATCCCTTCACTGTTAAAAAAAAAACGAGAAAAGGCTGGGTTACACGCACCAGACTGCAACGTGACGCTATAAATTCAAAAGTTCACATAAATAAATAATCACTGCTGTGTAGGTACCTGTATATTTATAAATGTAATGTTTCAACTTTCATTAGACCACCTGTCCGACCAAAACACGCATTCCTCCGCTTCATAAATTGCACAGCAAAAACTAATCGTTGCCTAACATAGTTTCCTTTGTTTTCGTCCTACTTTTCGTGGCAAATATCAAGGATTTTACACATCGCGCTGTTACCCTTTTCGGATGCTCTTGGTGCGCGTGGGTTCCGCTACCAGTTAATTATTAAAACAAAAACCACTCGCGGGTGGCTTAAAAAAAGCTTGAAAACACGTAAACACTTGGTCTGGTTGTTTGTTTTTCGAAGGGAAGTGACTCACCTGGAACGAGGCAAAAACATGGAACCGTCGATGAAGACTGAACCAGAAAGAAGGATGTACCAGCATGTTGACAGCTCCCCTGTGCTAAAAGGAAAATAAACAAACAATGAAAATATAAATCATAGACATGTTTTTAGTGGTTATTAAGTTAATGAACAGATTTCCATTTTTCTTGACACATAAATTAAATAGTTCTAGGGGCAAAGGGGACTACGAGAACTAGATGTCTTCTTATTAATTTCAAGTTTTTATGAGTTTAATACCGTTAAATCCTCATACGGGTTGATTAAATTGTTTTCCCTACAATTTCTTAAGTCCAATTTTATTATTATTATTTGTTCATATAATTAATTATGGTGATTTACGAGTAATAATGAGTGCGACTGAATTGGAAACGCAACCCATAATACATTCTCAAGAGATTTTACATACTCATTTATTTACGAATCTTCGGTTTGGTTAAGCTTATTATTACACACGAATCACCCTGTATATTAGGTTACAATATTAATTACTCGAAAATTGTATACCTTTTATTATAATTAAAAATATTACCAAGATAAAAAATACAGATCACTTAAAAAGTTTATATATGTTCCTTATAGAACGCTAAACAGCAAAGTGTAAGTTCTAACATTGTAAAAATTCTCATTGACACCTCGTAAATTGAAGTAATACTTCTCTAAAACTGAAAACTGTTAAATTATGTGCTAATGAACTCACATTAATTTTCATAGTTCGTATTAAATTTTACATAAGTAAAACATGTGGTACTTACTTAAAAAAAAAAAATACCGTAACATCAGTGGGTCTTATTAGAATCAAATCCATACTTATAAGGTTCATTGTTGTTGCGCGGTCTTATCTTAATATATTATACTGATAATCTTGACAGATCTACCTCATCTTCAGATAAAGGAACCACTAAAATAAATTCCCATCTTTTTAAATAATGGTAAATTTCTAATTTTAAATTTCATAAAATAAAAGACCAGGTTAAAGTGCCTTAAAAACATATGAAAAAAGAACTAACAGTTCATAACTTTAACTTCCACCTGTCTAAAAGTACAGTTGCATCGAAAATAACGTGCAAAGTCTCGTCAGTGCGGAACCAACCTTGTCCCCTCAAGGTTACAAAATGAACTATCCCTACTAGAACCAAATGTATTTTAAATAGTTATTTATTTGAGTTTAGGTCATTAAATATGTTAATCCAGTAATCAATATGTAGGCACAGTGGAGATAAAGCTAAAAGAGAAACATATACATATCGGTCTCTCATTTTGGTGCATAAATTTTGGTAATTTTTTTTTTTTAGGAGGAAACATTCTGATACTAAACATATTATTTTATATTAAATCTAATGCCATACCTTCGTTCATTTTAGATTAGTTTCCTTTCTTTGTTTACTGAAATCTTTTATAATTTACGACACTACTACTTTCTACAATTAGGCGACTGATTATACACAGCAAAATCACGCGGAGTGATTTACGATTTATTTCCAGGACTATCATTAAATAAATAATGATTTTACGTATACAAATGGGTTGCTATATTTCTTGGATAATAATTGATTTTTAACGCAACTTACAAGTTACTAACAGAATTGGTGAATTTTAGTTCCAGAGAGTAGTATAAATCAAGTAGAATCGTACACTGAAATTATCCGGCATTAGTCTTGTGGTATCCCAAATTGAAATTTAAATTTCGCGCCGAAAAACAAACCATCATGAAATAGCATTCGAAAAATTAAAAATAAGAAAAAAACATTCAATAACGTCCTCAATGAGTGTAATCAACGTAATATCAGTTTATTAATAATTTTATAAATTGGAATATGTATATAAAATTTTGTTATTCCATAAACACTTGTAATTTTTATTTCACGATTTATAAATCAAATGTAATTTGCTCATGTATTTAATGTAATTTTGACAACAATCATCGAAAATGTTCTTGTAAAACACGTGGTGAAAATTCACTTATTCAGGTTCAATTCAACGAGATTAATAATCCTTCGTTTACGGCATTTAAACTAATCTTAAACATTGATTTATTTTGATACAAAAGACCTTGAAAATTATCATGAGTTAAATTAATATCATCAGGGACTAGAAATGGAAGGTGTACTTTATGTTTATTTTGTATTATATTAATGAGTTATTTTTTTACATCGAAACTGTTTTCTCGCAGCTTGAATTTGAACATTCATTCATTCTTCCTTGCGTTCAAAGTGTTCGCTGAACAGGAGCGCACCAAGGTTGGGGGCTCTCTGAGACTAAAGAATTAAAAAATGCTCAATATTTTTTTTGAACTAGTGTTCAGATTTAAGGAAAAACAGCATATTTAAAAAAAATGTATTCCACCAGGTGCATTTTTCTGAAGTGTTAAGAGCTTCTAGAAAGAATGAGGCACAAAGACCACAAAATAAATAAATATGAAACGGTTCTTATTGTTATAATGTAATCTGAAAAACTGAACCATGCGATTCCAAATCAATTCAGAATAAAAATTACTCCCTCTGTCCCAAAATAAGTGTCCAATTTCTGTGTTTTGTTAAATATTATTACCTTCGTTTTTAAAGATGAAGAGGTTTTGTTGTAAACGTAGTCGGTATAGGTCAAATTCAACATTTTAATACAAAAAAATCTTTGAAGGTGTTTGTTTTGGTGAATCAGGCCGTCTAGTTGGCTACCTGTTTTGCGTGGATGAAATTAGGCCTCAGGAATGCGAGTGTTTCAAATCTACGGCGCGTGTTGTGGCTGCGGTTAGGGCAAATAGACCTTCACTACATGTCGTCACGCTGCCTAGTTTGTTTATCACTCAACTTTGTTTTTTGCTCGACTGTCAATAATTTAAATTTGCTGCCACAAGATCGTAGTAACTTGAGTATTTGCGTCCAGTTACTTTAATGACGATTTATTTTTATTTGTGTGTTTAAATTTATGATACAGATGTATTTATATTTTTTTGATGTTCATTTTTGAAAAATGGAGAGGGTTTTTGTAGTTAGTTGTCCCGCATTTTGTTGATGATCACAGCTTAAAGCCAAATTTTGAATATGGCGAAGGTTTTAAAATTATATGTCTATTTGTCTAATTTTGGAGGGATGTTTGAGTTAGTACCAAGCACAATCTGATAAATGATGTGATCCCAGATACATACAGACCATGGAAGTTCGTGTTCATGAAATTAATAATATATGCAACACAGTATACAACTATTGCGATTTTGGCTATCACTTCTGTACAATTTCGAATACAAACGCATTCATGAAAACTGAGCAAGTTATTTTTATAATAGAAGTGATTAAGGGAAAATAATTCGCGGTTTCAAAAATGTGAATTACTTTGAAAAGCGGCTGTTATTTTAATCTCAAAATTATCTCGCCAAGATATAAGAAATATATCAAATCGTTAAAACTGAACTTAATTTATTAGCAGCACCTTTAGATAATTGCATGTTCTCTATTTTTATAAAGAGATTGAAATTCAACTAAAATTTGTTTAAATTTATCTTTTAAAGTTATCTTATTAACATTATGAGACGCCACTGATTTCATTTACCAGATGTTAGCAAAGAATATTAACGTATAAACGAATTCGTTAATATTCTTTGATATTAGTATTATATCTTGCTTTCAAAATAAATAAGCCGCTTAGACCTTAAATCTGTTAAATTCTTTAAGAAATACTTACTTATTTCTGGTATGTCTAGCGATAATTAAAAAGAAAATAATAATTTGCTCAGCCATTGTGCAAACATAAGCAAGCTTAACATTGTTCTGGCAATGTGGCTAACAAATTTTAGATCAAAGATTATTTAAAAGTTCTCATAACCTTGGTTTTAGAAAAAAAAGTTAGTGTTCTATGTATATGACCATTGTCACATCAAGATAGCAATTACTTAGGGAGACTCAACGAAACTTGACGCATTAAGTTGTTAATTTTTATTACACTAAGGTGTGAGCAACGATAACTCACTCGCACAGCCAGAGAATACTCAGAGAAGAATCACTTGCAAAATCATAAAAAAAAAATCGGAACGGCAGACAGACGGACAGACAGCCAGACAGACGGAAACGGGAGACCTATTTTTTCATACTCTAGAGGTGAAAGGTTGAGAAAATGTAAAAGTAGAGAGTCGGCCGACAGACTTCAATACATCATTACAATACTTCCTCATATTTTGCCTTTTTTTTTCTTAACATACATAGCCATTTTTTCATAACAAGAAACTTTAAAACCTGGTTAAAATGGTTTACGCAAGGAAATATGGCGGAGCCTAATTGCAAAATTGATATTTTGAACATATTTTAAGTTCCATGTTGTGAAAAGAAGTCTACACATATAAAAATAAAAAGGCAAAATGTAAGCCCACCCACCCATCCTATCTCAACTTTGATTATTTTTTTTTATTCGCCCTGAACCAAGAGGACTCAGCTTAACTGCAAAATACTTATTTCTTCACAAGAAATTAAAAACATGTTTTTGAGCATCGTGTTGTTCAAAGAATACAATGTATATTAAGAGAAAAAAGTAAAATATTAACCCCGCCCACCCACCCCACCTCAATTGTGATGATTTTTTTATTTTTAAAAACTTAAAACATGTTTAAAATGGTAAATTTTTGTACGGAAATATGGATTTTGATATTAGGCTCCGCCCCTAAGTCTGCCAACCATTGAAAACTTCATTACTATTTAGATCAGGGCAATTATGGGTGAAGCTTAATTTTTGGATTTAATTTTTTCTTAATACACATAGTATTCTTTGAAAAACACGATACTCAAAAAAATGTCTTACATGGTAATTTCTTGTAGAGACAGAATTAATAAAAATTTTGCATTTAAATTCCGCTCCTTTGGCTCTCGACGAATATAAAAAATCATTACAATTGAGATAGGGTGGGTGGGTGGACTTATATTTTCCTCTTTTTTCTTAATATACGTCTTTTCAGAACAAGAAACTTAAAACATGTTTAAAATGGTAAATTCTTGTAAACAAATAGACCATGGTGGTGCTCAGTAGAAAACCGCCCTCGATCCATACCACTGACTTTTAACTCATAAAATTAACAAGAAATGCAGACCCAGACAGACTTTTTTTGTTAAATCATCAACTTATTTTTAATTAAAGCAAAATTAAATAGCGCATTTTTTATTGATGTTCTTTGAGTAAGGTTATAATTGATGACCTCATTAGAGGGAGGCGGTCAAGTATTGATAGATTAGGTCCGTTTGAAAGCCAAGAAAGATGGCAAAAATGTGCAAATTAGATAGCTGCTGTTATCGACATAAATATCCTGTGGAAGATACTGAAATCGTGGAACTTTTCATTAGTTTCCTTCATTCCACGACTTTAATTACATATAAAAAAAAAAAAACAAAACAAAACAAGAACAATGAAAAAGGCAAACAATAACTCCAAATTCATATATAAAAATTAACAAGCAAACACTTTTATTCTCTAGAGAGAAAAAAACAATTTTTGTTAATTTCGTTATTATCTTTTGCTTCCGGGTCTACTTACTAGTACAAAACATCGTTGGCCTGATGCTTCTCATAGCGAACCACTTTACAAAGCGCTCTCAAAGCAGAATCCCGCAGCGTCTGCAGCGCCTCCAATCCGCTCAAACCGTAGTAAATAACTTGCAGGTCTTGCAGGGATCTGCATGCCGGTGGTCTGGCCAGCGATCTAACGAACATCTGATCCCAGTCGGTCATGACACCGCACGATGGCGCCACCGTACCATTTCGAGGCGGTTCGTAGCCCGCGCTCCGCAACTTCACAGCGTCCACTTCGCGCATATGACAATATTTTTTGTTTGTACAGCACACCACAACACACAATTTTTTTACGAAGTATCCGGGCCCGTGACGTCACCTTGTAGCGTCACGACGCGTTTTTGCTCGGGATCCCACGGTTTTCACTGCCACACATTTTTTGCGGGGAAATTTATGGGCGCAGATGGTGGAGGCTGAGGGTCATCGGGATGATTTTGGATTGTAAGGCCATTGCACTGATGGTACTTATTGGTCAAAGATAGGTTTCATCTGAAATAAAAAAAAAATCGGGATGAAAACGCTATACTTGCTTAGATTTTTTTAGGGGTTTACTTAGTTATTATTTTTATTTTGTTAAAATACCTAATGTGTTTGTCAAAAAAAAAAAATATATAGGAGTATATTTTATGGATTACTTGATTGTGATAAAAAATAAAATTCGCATATACAGTTTTTATATGGTATAAATATTTAAGAAACTAGACATGTTTAATTGTACTTCAAGGATGAGCGAAATTTTGTTTAATTAACTTCAGACTAATTTTTCTTGTTTAAGAATCCAATGAATCACAGGACTAATAATTACTTATGCCTGACATGCATTAACTTACAGCTCAGAGTTTATTTTTATAGCTTATCAACTCTAGATCTTATTGAAATGTAACCCTTCCTCTAAAAAAATTAACAATGTTAATTTACCAGTACAAATTTTCATTTATTAGCCATTGTTGTTATTCCCCAATGCATAAACTGAAGCAAGTAATTCATTTTATGACACAGTTAAGTAAAAGCAAATGTTAACGATGTTTATATTTTTCTTTATAATAGTTGTGATAATATGGGACACTTTTATGAATATAACTCATTAGTTACATATAATCGACCCAGTTATCAACAATAAAAACTGATATGGAGTAGATCAATGAGAAGAATTTCCGGTTAATAAAACCGCGGTTTAATGACAACTAAAGTAAGTAAGCTTTGTACAAGTTATTTGTGTAACTATTAAGCAAAATGGCAACTATTTTTAGAGACGCTAAACGAGTTCAAAAATTTTTCGAGGATGCTAACGACATCCGCTGATGAAGACAAGTATTCAAGTATTAGCACATTTGATTTTAATTTTATAAATTAACACTAAACAAATACTATATGATCGAAAAAAATCTACCAAAATATCCATAAATTACTTTTTGACACTAGAGCTTTTTATACAGGTTATTCTTTTCTGTTCACAGTCTCAGAACATTTTTTTATCTGTGATTCATTCAGCAAATGATACAATTAGTCATATTTGACATCCTCGAAAGCCTGATAAAATGACATTAACCTAAAGGAAGTTAAAAATGGGGACATACGTACTTGCTCCAGTTTTGAAAACACTTAAACCGAGACAACTGCAACCTCAAAGATACAAATAACTTTTTGTTTCTGGTGTTACCAGCTTAAGTTTATAGTTCAAATATCGACCTATATTTCTATATATACCTACAGAAATTCGAGCTCATAACTTTGTTACGACTTATCAAAATACTTTAAATAATCGCTGCTTATGTATTCTACACAGAGAAGCAAATTACATGCTCACTTTTTGAAAATCAGTACCCGTTTATGCCATATGTACGTGACGCAAATGTACTATAACATACAATCAAAAACCTCTACTTTAGCACACAATATTCAATTCAGGAGATTTAGTTATATTGTTACGTAATCTTTTAAACATGATTTGTACTTAAACATTTCATGCCACGTGCTTTTCGCTAGACGCGACACAGTCTAATGCATGTGTGTTTATGATTAAATTTTAAATTATTAATTTTTTATTAATTATGAATTTAATATGTATGTAGAAAAACATGAATAATACAAATACATACTTTCATATTCATAAAATAAGTGAATTTATTTATAATAAACATAGCGCTACAGTCCTCCAAGTGCATAAAAATTAATGAATGCAACGAATCAATACAATAAGGGTGAAACTTTTGACAACTAGAGTTAAAAATGATAATATGAATTTGGCTTACAAACACTACTACATATTTATTCTTTTTCTATCACAAATAATTTAGACCCTAGCATCTAACACTTAAAAGTTCCAAATCAAAAGTTGTTAATAAAAGCAAAATTTGTTATAGCACATTAAATTTTAGTGGAGATGATTAGACAAATTCTGGCTAGCGTATTACCATCTAAACGATATTCCCAATACACATACAAAATTTGACAACAATCGATCTAGTAGTTTCGGAAATTATCTCCATAATAAAAATTAACGGACACAAACGAGACAGACGATGGACAGACGGAAATACAAGACCCACTTGTTCGTACTCTTGAGGTTATGAAATTAGCCATTCGTCGGATTACAATACTTCGCCAGCTTATACTTGGGAAGTAAAAAATCTCAAAAGTCAATACGGTCGCGAGTTTTTGAAATATCTGGCTTCAAAATAAATTTTAGGATATATTATATGTATTTTATTTTGGTGATCTTGAAAAAATAGTAGTAAATTTATCGAAGAACTGATGTTGTCGACAACCTGCGGGGACCGAGGTTGACTATAAGAATTTTTTTAATACTTCGTGGACGAATTTCAAGAAGAATAAAAGACTTTAAATCTTCTTAATTGTTGAAAAATAGGAAGGAAAAGAAGAAGCCAAAATTAATTATAGCATTGTTAATGAGGAGCACATTCAACGTTATTAAAAAAATAAATAAATAAAAAAGTCAAAAATAACAAAAAAAAATACTGTTACGCGAAAATGTACCTAGTATTTATCCGAAAACAAGGATTAGCTGATTTCTTCAATATCCAACTGAAAAGTCATAGTTTTTGAATCTGATGACGGGTACAACTTGAGCGGACCGAAATTGACTAACGGAATTTTTTGATCTTTTGTGGATGAATTGCAAGAAGTATAAAAAAAATCGAATTTTCTCAGTTACTGAAAGCCTGATCTTTTTGTAAAGGTGGGTGAAAAATCGTCAAAAATTTCTGGGACTCGACTTTGCGTTGACAGAAATGCATTAAGATCGATTTATAAACTTGTCGCTGACATTGCTGTTTGCCATTGACGTTGCCGTTGTAAGATTAATACGCAGCGAAGGTATGCGTCGTTTATATCATCCGCCCCTCGGTCTGACCACGAATGAAAAGTTCATCACGATTGAGATCGAGACGGATGGATGGGGCTTCTCTTTTGGTTTTCTTTTTTAATGTAATAGATTTAGTTTTCTTGTATATATATAAGAATTTTACAATTAAGTTCCGCCTCTCGGCTTACGACGAATAAAAAAATTCATCAGAACTGAGATAGGGCGGGTGGGCGGGGCTTATGTTTTGCCTTTTTTTTTTAAATATATGTATACCATCTTTTCACAACAAGAAACTTATAACATGGTTAAAATGGTACATTTTTGCAAGGAAATATGGATTTGGCAATTATGGGGCAGACACTAATTGCAAAATCGATATTTCCTTACACAAATTTTCCATTTTTAACATGTTTTAAGTTTCTTGTTGTAAAAAGAAGTGTACACATATTAAAACAAAAAGGTTTTTACTCGCCGTGAACTAAAGGGGCGGAGCTTAACTGCAAAATACTTATTTCTTTAGAAAAAATTAAAAACATGTTTTTGAGTATCGTGTTGTTCAAATTACACAATGTATATTAAGAAAAAAAAGGCAAAATATAAACCCCGCCCGCCCACCCCATCACAATTGTGATCAACTGATGATTTTTTTTTATTCTTAGAAACCTAAAACACATTTAAAATTATACATTTTTGTAAGGAAATATGGATTTTGCAAATAGGCTAGGCCCCTAGGTCTGCCAACTTATGAAAACCTCATTACTATTTACACTAGGGCAGGTATGGTTGAGGCTTATTCTTTGGTTTCCGTTTTTCCTTAATGTACATAGTATTTTTTAAATAACACGTCTTACATGGTAATTTCTTGTAGAGAAATATAAGGATTTTGCAATTTAAATTTCGTTCCTTTGGCTCTCCTCCATTAAAAAAATCATCACAACTGAAATAGGGCGGGTGGGCGGGGCTTATATTTTGCCTTTTTTCTTAATATATTTAGCCGTCTTTTCAGAATAAGAAACTTGAAACATGTTTAAAATGGTAAATTCTTGTAGACAAATGTGGATCTTGCAATTAAACCCCGCCTCTTGGTCTGACAACGAATAAAAAATTCATTACAATTGAGAATTGAGATCGGGGCGGATATGGGTGGGGCCTAATTTTTGGTTTTCTTTTTTAATTAATACATTTACTTAAGAAAATATTTCACATGATAATTTCTCGTAATAAGGATTTTACAATTAATCTCCGCCCCTCAGCTTACGACGAATAAAAAAAGTCATCAAAATTGAGATAGGGCGGGTGGGCGGGGCTTATGTTTTGCCTTTTTTTTTTTTTAATATACACTGCCATCTTTTCACAACAAAAAACTTGTTTAAAATAGTACATTTTTGCAAGGAATTATGGATTTTGCAATTATGGGGCGGACACTAATTGTAAAATCCATATTTCCTTACACAAATTTTCCATTTTAAACATGTTTTAAGTTTCATGTTGTGAAAAGAAGTGTACACATATTAAAACAAAAAGGCAAAATGTAGGCCCGCCCACCCGCCCTATGTCAGTTGTGATGTTTTTTTTTATTCGCCGTGAACCAAGCGAATAAAATTAAGCTTAACTGCAAAATACTTATTTCTTTAGAAGAAATTATAAACAGGTTTTCGGGTATCGTGTTGTTCAAAGAATACTATGTATACATATTAAGAAAAAAAAAGCAAAATATAAAACCCGCCCACCCACCCCATCTCAATTGTGATGATTTTTTTTATTCAGGGCGGGTATGGGTGGGGCCTAATCTTCGACTTTATTTTGATTTTTTTTTCCAAAAACTTGGATCAAAAGGGTGAAAACTCAAGACAGATTCATACATCACAACTGCAGGAGTATTTTATTTTATAAAATATATTATTGTAGATTTTATGATTAGGCAAATTTTGATGAACCTTTTACCATCTTACATTATATTCCTAATGTACGTGTAAAATTTGACAACAATCGGTTGTTTCAGAGATTATTTGTATCATAAAAAACCAAACAGACGACAGACAGACAGACAGACGGAAACGGGAGATCTATCTCTTCGTACTCTAGGGGTCATGAAAAGTCGAGAAAACATAAAAGTAGGGAGTCGGCCGATGAACTCGATTACAATACTTCCTTAGCTCAGGAA